CAAAATAACTGTTTCCGTCTGTTTGACCGTCAAAATCGTCAGTTGACCCCTTTAATGATAATTTCAAGAATTTTCCCCAAATAAGTGAAGGGCAACATGGTCATTATACACATTTCCCTCCTCAACTAAAAACTTCACTGTTTATTTCCCTCCATTTCTTTATCACTATATATTACCTACCTTCTCTCTCACAGGTAGTAAAAAGAATCAGCAAGAAGATGGAGGGGAATGTATGCAGATGTGGTTCCCCAGTGCAGATGAAGACCTCGTGGACGAACTTGAACTCGGAAAGAAGATTTCTCACTTGTCCTCGAAGCCAAGATGTTGGTGGATGTACCTTCTTTATGTGGTGTGACCCTCCGATATGTGAGAGATCGAAGGAACTGATTCCTGGTCTATTACGAGCTAGAAGGGAAATGGAAGCTGAAATCGACACCCTTCAAGCAACAAGACCAAATATGTGGAAGATCTGGCTCTTCGGCTTTGTTTGTGGAGTGTTTGGAAAATGGGTTTGTTCCCAGGTATGTAGGGTCAGATTGTAGGATTTTAGTTTTTTGTTCCAGAAATTTGAGCTTAGGGTTCGAAATGGAGCCATGTGCTAGATGTTGTAAAATGCATATGTAAAAAAGGAAAATTTGTGTTATACATTTTGACTTGAAATTTAACGATATTTTCCTGGCCTCTATGTCAAATGCGAAATTAAAAGAGCAGACTACACTTCAAACTTATCTGAAGAAGGTGCATCATAGGTACCAAACCTTATAACGATTCGCAGAATCAGTACCAAACATTTTCTAATGGTTTCAAACAGAGTACCAAATCTTTAAAAACATTGCAGTAAAAGGTACCAAACGTTTGATAATACATTCATAGGAAGTATCAAACATTCTCATATATTTCATAATCGCATGCACATCAGATCTTACGAATATATAGGTACCAAACCTTATAACGATTCGCAGAATCAGTACCAAACATTTTCTAATGGTTTCAAACAGAGTACCAAATCTTTAAAAACATTGCAGTAAAAGGTACCAAACGTTTGATAATACATTCATAGGAAGTATCAA